CAAAAGTTTTCTAATAAAAGCGAGATATGACTTGTAGATAATTTGGTAAAACTGGTTCCTCATCCGTCTCGAAGTGACCAACAAAATTGGTAGAATTAAATGGACATTTGTTCAACAAATTAGGATGGCGATCTTGCTACCATTTAGAGCGTATTAAATCTTGTAATTACTTCAAACTTGAAGGACCACCCACTGGCGTGGGAAATAAGAACACAAGCAGATTAAACAGTACGTAATTTAATAATTAAATGTTACTACAACTAGCCAAAATTTTATATATACAACTACTTGTATTTATAAAATACAAGTTAACATCTAGCCAAAATTTTTAGCGCAAGTTCTTTTATTGAAATAGCCGATCACTGACCATACACACCGCAACACAAAAGCACTGATACAGATTAAAATCTTACCACTAATTATCACTTCAACTAAGGACGTTTTCTTCTATATGAATATACTTGATTAATACTGAGCGTTCAGCTTTTAACTATAAGCTGTGATACAATAACTCATATGCGGGAGATAAACCTCTAACAAGAAGCGACCAGCTAAGCTGGGATACAATTTGATATTGAAAATGCTTAAAATTCAGATTGCAATGCCTGACTATTGCAAGAGATTCGCGGGAGACAACTTCGATATTTCTATACAGAGGTAGGTAAAACCGACCTTTTGAATTCTTGTCTACCAGTGGCGTAGCAACACTTGGATACATTTTTTACAGAAATTTATTCAAATACCACCCCAAACATTTATAGACGACCTAGTTTTACTAAGATTGTTAATAAAGAAAGAATTGCTTGATACATAGTAATGAAAATTATGAAAATTCGCTGCTGCATTTTTGTGAAATTTAGCCTCATCTCCAAATAAGCATATATTCGAAAAAAAAAAATCGGTCGTTATGCACTTGCTGCTGAGACGATTGGCAAAAAGCTAATGTGCGGCGATAATCATCGACTGTCAATTCTTGATGTAACTGGTTTCGATAGGGATGCATTTTATGTTTACAAGGGGTTTTTACAGCAAAGTGTAACTAATGTCATGTTGACGTGAAATTTCACGAGTGCTGATGTGTGGATTCCCAGTAGTAAGTAACAGTACATCGTATTTATTTTCTTCACTTATGAACAGTTTTGGTGCTCCCATTTCTTTTTCATATGCAACTGACCCAATGCGAACAACATGATTCATTAATTTGTGAAAAGCTCTTACGTTTGGCTTCCTCCTTTCAGGATATCATTGTTGATATATTCTGGAAGTTGGTAATTTTTCGAACTTTTTCCTAATTTCTCCAAAAATTTATTTTCAAAATTAAAAACAAGCCACGCAGACTGGTTAAAAAGGTAAAAATATGAAAACTGTTATTTTTTTTTCAAAGCCAACTGTTTTACCGTTTTTAAAAGATACAAGTCGCCTTTTACTTACGAGGTACTCCCGAAATTTAAAGAAAAGTAAAAATATCGCGGAATGTAATGAATATAGGAATAGAAACAGAGTCATAAAAATGAAAGAGTTTTATAAATGCAATATGTTGTAAAAATCGTAATTTTCTTTTGTAGTTTACGCTTTATACGAATATTTGTTAATGATTTCTTTTAAACTTAATTTGAAAACTAGAAAATGTTATTTAGATTGTTATTTAACAAGAATACCCATTTACTTATTCCTCCAATAATCTAATATACATTGTGAATAGCACTATAATTTATAGTTTTTATTAATTCCATAGGGAACTAACCAGAGGTATACTCAATAAATAGCTTTCTAGATTTACGTGTCAACATATTCGCTTTGCTATCATATTCTTCTCTGTTTCTATTTTCTAAATATGTACCTATGTATTTTTGGAGATAATATCATGTTTTTCCAATGACGGAATATCCAGTTATTTGCGTTGTTCTGCCACAATATAATGGGGAAAGACCAAATTTATCGCGTATGTCATTCACTTATAATCACATTTTGATTAAACGGGCAGTTTTTATGTATATCTGTATATACTTTTGCAGGAACAATAAATATACTACAGAGCACAAAAAGAGTTTTGGATTCTAATATTAATGATGAAAAATATTTGAATATATTCAGAAGCGGTCAAAATGGTTTGTATTCTTTCCTTAAGAAAAAATTTGTACTTAATTTTTAGAAATGTTTTAGCTTATTAAAGAGTATATTATTTACATCCATATTATTAATAAAAATTGAATAAAGCGATATGGATTAAATATTAATAAGAGTCTGAAACTGTTTTCTTGCGGCATTTTTAAGTTTAATTATATTTTATATGGAATTAAACTACAATTGATTGTAATGAGATTTTGATCCAATCCAAAAATCGTTTTCAAAAAAGTCTAAAACAAAAATTATGAATGATCTTAACCTGTAAAAATTTTTAATTGGTGGTAATAGTCCAGGAGCCAGGGCTGTTTTTGCTTTTGCGTCGGAAGTGACAATTATTTTTTATTATATAATTTAATTGTTTAAATGATTATAATTCGTACACTAACTAATATAAATCATTTTTACACAATGCGTTATGCTCCTTTAAAAAAACCTACAAAATTATGTTTGGTAAACCTTGATCGAATAACTAAAACCGGAGATATTGCAAAATTAATATAAAACAGTGCAATATTACGGCCGTTAGAGATTTTTCACTTGTAATAACTCGGCTACTAAAACTAAACCTAATTATAATCGAAATATTATTTATAACAAAGTTGTAACGATAAACGGATTTTATTAAAAAAAGTTATATAATTTATTTATAAGGTTTTTTAGCTGCTAATTTGCAGCAAAATGTCAAAATTGCATAGGAAAGCTTCACTCTGCACTTTTAAAGATCTTTTTGATTTTTGTCTAAAGGATATTCTGAACAAAAGATATCAATTTTTTACCGTCGAATTGATACAAATTTTACGGAGAGAACAGTTTATTTTACACAAAAAGTGCTTATAAACATTTTTGTTCAAAACTCAGCTACATTTTTATTTAAAAAATTGTCTTCTACCACTCATAGATTCTTGGTAAATCGTTTTTTTTTTTCATTTGCTTGTCCTACGAGGGTCGAAGGTTTTAGGTAGAAGCCAGGGGTAGGAACAGTAAAGTTTTTTTTGCATATGTTTTGGGGTCCAAAAATTAACGCCCTCAAGAAAATTCAGTTTGTTCGTATGATTTTGAGAGGTTCAGTGGCATTTTCGTCACTGACGACTGGAGTATAAACCAATTAATTTATTTATAATAAAAATAAAGCATCTCCGATATTTGGTAATGCATTTTTTAGATGCCTCTATTCGAATTACATCAGATTAAAAACAAAAGAAATTACTTTATTGGAAGTCGAGATATTACATTTTTTTATGTATTTCGATTTTGATATTTGAAATTAAATTCGCTTCAACCTAATTTGTTTGGCATTTTTCAAGCCCAATAACGATGGTTTTTATTATTATAATATATGTTATGAATATCTTGAAGATATCAATTTTTTATAAAGAAAGAGATCGGAAAGAAGAAGGTTATGGTTTAAAAATTATCATCCTATTTTTTATAACTTCGTCGCAAATGCCGGTCATTTTGACTGTTTGTATATCAGAACCACTGCTCAGAATTTAACTTTTGTTTGAGACACATTTTAATTTCATAAAGTATGTTAGAGATAGCTTAATTGCGTTTTATAATATATTTTTTTATTTATTTTGTTATATAGTTTCTGTTGTGCAAGATTTTTAAAAAATTCATTTAAACATTTTTTTTAACAAATTTAGTGTGCAAAATTATTATGCGAAATCCGTTAAATCGATTTTAATGAAATACGGAAGACTGTTTTATTATGTTATCAAAATTTTATAAACGAATTATGAAGGTCCTATGTGTAATGTAAGTGGTTGAAATTGTTGAATAAGAAAACGTTTATTTCTCACTTTTCGTATTTATTCCAACCTTGCAGCAGCGGTATCTTATAGAAAATCGGATTGTCGCTATTTTATTTCATTGCGACTTTGTTCCAAAACAAATTGTTTTAAAGTTATAAGCAAGAGTAGTAGAAAAAAATCGATATTTTTATTAATTTTTAAATATTTTGATTTTTTTATTAATGCTCCCGACTTAGTTAAGTGCAAGCATAAGTCAATTATTATTATTAAAATACATCCAAATTTAGTCCATTTTTTACAGATCCACCCTGGTCTATAATTAATATTTCGATTAAGATTTAGCTTTAAAGCTGTTTTCTTTAATTTGAGCTATTATAAAATTATTTTACTCAAAACACCGCCGAATTACAAGTGAAAATCCTCTAAATGCGGTAATTTTGCAATACCTTTGGTTCTAATTTTATTGGATCAAGGTTTACCAAACATCATTTTGTAGGTTTTTTAGGGCAAAAATTACATCTAGAGATAGTTGTTAGTTTACAAATTATAATGATTTAAACAATTAAATTGTTTATAACAAATTTCACTTCATTTCTAAAATTCCATAGACTTTGATCGGCATCGAAACAGTCCTGGCCCCTATACTATAATACCATTTTGATATTTTGACCTACTTGGCCTCGTTCTTGTAGGCATTAGCCGTTTTTGTTTCTCGTGGTTTACTTTTGTCCGTGCATTATTTTATAATTTTATACTATACCTTTATTAACAATAATTATTGAATATCTATTAATATATGTACAATATAATTAAAAAATATATGATAGCTATTTTGATATTTATGTAGTTTTTAAGCGGAGTATAAAAATCTAGCATATCTATGAAAATCCGCCAGAGTTGGCATTTAGGAGTACTGACCCATCAAATAGCCAAAAATGGCGTCGGGACAACAACTAGCTCTGTACAGGTTGAAAGAGGGATAAATACCATATCAAACATTCTGACAGATTCAGATCTAAGAATGAAAAGAAGATTAAAAAAATGTACAGACTGAACAAAATTAACAAATTCACTGCCGTGTGTGTATATAGTTTAGTTAGTCAATTGGTTTTCACTTACCAAAGAAAGCCAAATATTTGTTATTAGGAGTTGATTCTTCTCGTCCTATGGTCAAACAATAAAAGGGAAACATCGGTAGTTAGTAACATAACAAAGCATGCAGAGCACAATACAGCTGAGCATTTTAACTAATAGGTAATAAACTAGATAATACATACAATTATGCACCAAAATGTAGATTGTCAAAAAAATCTTAATTATTACTTTATCTAGAATTTTACCTTTAATTAGAAAAAATACACAGCCATTTGTACTATATATGGTCAAGTCTAGTGTAACATTAATTAGACATTGTTATCTCTGTTGAGAAATATAGCTCTGTGCTTCTACTTACGTTATTTTTAGTTGACAAAAATGAACTTAATTTTTTATTTAAATAAATGATATGGGCTTTTTTTAATTCGTACTCTTCTGTTGGAAATTATTTTTTATATTATTATTATTATTATTATTTTAATAAATATTATTTCATCATCTGTTTATAATTTTAGAGTATCTTTTTATTCTCAAAATGTTTTTTTAACTATTTAACAATAAGTAACACATTTGTTGATAACTGAACTAGGGTATCTTTTCATAGTTTTTGATACGATTTACAGATGTAATCGTTAATTTAGCCAATAACGTATCTGCGCTATGTGATAAGAATGAGATAATACAAAAGTATTATGTAACATATTACCACATGCAAAAATTATTAAAAAACGTAATTTCTTAAATACATTGTTTTCAGAGTTTATAGGCCTTAATCTGGAATTATTTAAGTTTCATCTGTAAAAGCCGTCCAACAATGCTCGGAGGGAATGTCCGCGCACTGATGCATAGCCTCTGATAATTCTAGGCCATGGGCTACAAATCCCGAAAATAATGTACCATTAAAAAACAAAGGCTCGACCAATTTATAAATAATATATTATATATATATATATATATATATATATATATATATATATATATATATATGTATATGTATATATACAGGCTGGTCCTTAAGTAATTGTACAGAAAGAAACCGTAGATTATACACTTTAAAATATTACAATTTAAGCCAAGTTGCTTTAATAAAATGTTGATATTAAGAAAGATACAGGGCGTTAAAGTGGAAATTTAAAATTTTCGGCTATAACTTGTATGTTTGTGAACATTTATGTATCAAAATTCATAAATGGGTAGTATTGAATATCAGAAATTATAATTTGATGCATACTTTAACGTAGCTGATAGACGGCGCTACATGTGCCACATAGGTGGCATATATTCGCAATTAACTTTTTTGCTCTTTAAGTTACCGATGTTTGTGATAAAAAATAATAAAGATCCATTATTTTAACAAAAAAAGATATACTTATAAACAAAAACTCAACAGTTTTCGAGACAATCGCATTTTACAAATTAACTACTTAATTCAGATTTAACGCAATTACTCCATTCAACGAAAGAAAATTAGACAAAAACATCAATACTTCTGAATTATGGTATAAAATGCCTTTAATAAAGTTAATAATTAACGACATATTAACTAAAATAAATATATCAACAGGATAGTTAATATTAGGATTTGACAAAATATCAGAATAATAGGATTTTATGTCAAACTATATAACAAAATATCAAAATAATAGGATTTTATGTCATTAAGTAATTATATTAATATCTCAACACATGACTAAGGAATATGACTACCACGAACAATCCAACGTTCAGAAACGTTGTATTTAATTATGATCTCACTGCACTCTATAATGTGGTGGTGTACCATCTTGCATAAACCACATATTTTGCCTTGAGTTTATTGACAATTCTTCCAATAAATTAACAAAATAATTTTATAAAAAATGTAAATAAAGTTCACCATTCAAATTACAAGGTAATTCGCATGTCCGTAAAAAATTATTACCAATGGTTCCAAACCGTACTTTTATTTAAAATTTATGTTTAAAATGCATATCGTATTGTTTGGTACCATTTGTAATTATTTTTTACAGACATGCGAATTAACTTAATATTATTTTATTAATTAACGTAATTTTAATGGTGAGATTTATTTACATTTTTTATAAAATGATTTTATTGATTTATTGAAAGAATTGCCATCAAACTTAAGGCGAAATATGTGGTGTATGCAAAATGGTACACCACCACATTATAGAGAGAGAGGACAGTGAGAACATAATTAAATACAACTTTCCTGAACGTTGGATTGTTCGTGATAGTCATATTCCTTGGTCATGTGATGAGATATTAATATAATTATTTAATTCATAAGAATCCCAAACGAATACTTTATTTTATTATATTTATTACATACTACACTTATAATACTTATTAAAAATACTGCAGCAGTCTCTTTAGAACCAACGATGCTATTTAATATGAGACGATCTTTTATGAAATGTATTGACAATTGAATTAAAGAAAATGGTAGACATATCGAACACTTACTTTGAGAAAAAGTTTAATGTTATTTATGTTAACTATTTATTGATTTGGTTTATAAATAAAATATTTTGATTATGACTTCAATTTAATACGAAACGCAAAATGTTTGATGTAAAATCCAATTATTCTGTTATTCTGTCAAATCTTACTATTAATTATCCTGCAGATATGTTTATTTTATTTAATATTTCGTTAACTATTAACTTTATTAAAGACATTTTATACCAAAACTCAGAAGTATTGATGTTTTCGTTTTCTTTCGTTGCATGGTTGCATGGCTTTCGTTGTAATTGCGTTAAATCAGACTTGTGTAGTTGATCTGTAAAATGCGATTATCTCGGAAACTGTTAAGTTTTGAAGTTCTTAACAACTAACCGCTTTTTTTTTATTAAAATAATGTATCTTTATTATTTTTTATCACAAATACCGGTAACTTAAAGAGCAAAAAAGTTAAGTGCAAATGTATGCCACATATGTGGCATATGTGGCGCAATTTATCAGCTGCATTAATATTAATTATAATTCTCGATGTTCAATAGTACCCAGTTATGAATTTTTATACATAAATATTCACAAACACTAAAGTTATAGTGAAAATTAGAATTTCAAATTTCCATTTAACACCCTGTATCTTTCTTAATATCAACATTGTATTAAAGCAATTTGACTTAAATTGTAATATTTTAAAGTGTAGAATCTACGGTGTCTTTTTGTACAATTACTTAAGGACCGCCCTGTATATATTATAATAATAATAAATTTTTCGAGACATTTTTTAGATGGGATTAAAACACGATTAATTATCATAAAAATTAGATTTGATTATTTTGTTGATTACCAATTTAAAAATTCTGAATTTAAATAATTTGATATTATTAACCTATAAATGTTTATATGTATATATAGGTTAACATCATTATCATTTTCAACTTACGAACTTTTTAAAAACCTTTTCTGGATTAAAAATCGAAAAGCCAATAAAATAATAAAATGAAATTTTCATTACAATTAATCGTGGTTTTTAATTAATTGTATTTATGTAAAATTGGTGTGTTTGAAAAAGTTTAGAAAGAATCCCTTCCAAACGGGGTATTAATTGCCGTCTGAATTAAAATAAAAGGATCATAAAAAACAGCACCCGAGCACCATTTTATCCTTACATCACTGAATGTTATCAAAAAACTATAAATATATACTGTTGTTCCAAAATGTTCAATGTTCAGAAAATATGTATGTGAGATATTTTGGACGGACACTGTATAATATCTCTTTTTATGGATTACATTATTTAAAACAATTACTATGGTCATTTAAATGTGTTATATTATATTATATTATAAAGCAACGAAAAGGAGCAACTTAATTTTACATTAGTATGAGAACAATTTAGCTAACCACCCAAATAACCATTGGTGTGAATGATTTCTGACTTCTTTAATAATTGTAAATTAACTGTGGTCATGTTAAACTTTTAAAAGTTCTTGCCAACACTAACTCCCTATGTATTTTTAAACTTAATATAATTAAAATAATTTAAAAAAATATTTTAAAATATCCCAAACTTCTTAGTTTGCTATATAAAAGATTCAGCATATTTTATAGCATCAACTTTTTTCTAGAATGTAACATGCAGTGGACATAAAATGTCCTAATCTGTGACATAGATTATTCATGTATGAAATTTGGAATATATTTATATGCTAAAGGATTTGAATTTTAAAATAATCATAAATTCTATAAATAAATATTTTACATAAACGATATAATGTGACTACAAGCCTCCTTAAATAAATATAAGATCTAATCATAAGAAAGAATATACTAGAAATATATTTGAAACAAATCTGGCAACAATCTTTGCGCAGTAATAACCACAGTTTATATGTGGAAAAAATCATCAATTTCACTTCAAAGTATTATATAGATTTCTAATAGTTCTAAATCCTTCAAGACATGCAGCTGATTTTGCTTTGTTTTTTTTTAACAATCAAAAGTGAAAAAATTATTTTTTGCCTATAAAATTTTTCCTATACATTTTCAAAACCTTCAAAAACCTGTAAGTCTTTTCTTTATTGTTCGTGGTCATGACACTGTCGTGTTTGCTGGTTTGTACCATATGCATCATACGATTTATGCAAATGCTCAGTGCAATGTTTGTTGCGTTTGTTTCAAAACTCCACCACGTGATAGATAAAGTATATTATATTATGTTGCTTTAATATATATATATATAGACAATATTTCTTATTCAAATTTATACTAACACAGATGGTTTGTTCCTAGTACATTCTTCTTACGATCTGTTTGAAGATCAAAACAAAAATTCCGTAAATAATGATAAAATATTAAAACACAAATGTTTTTTAGTTTAAAACCATCAACACATTAGTCGATTTTCTACAGGTTATATATTTGATTGATCTATTTCAGTTTAGATAATAGAATGTAATTTCCTATTAACTCATTGTTTCAAATTCTCACCAAAATATTCACTTATATTAACTAATGAAAAGATTATTTCTATCCTCGTACTTTTACCTGGTGTATACGCAGCCAATAATTTCAGAGAAGTAGACTGACCGAATAAAAGCATTTTGATTGGTTTA